GAGAGAGAGATGATGAATTATGAAGATTTAGAGACAGAGAAAAGAGGGATTGAAAATGGCGAAAATCGCAGCGATTTGAAATACAGGAGAAGGAAGAAGGGGTAGTTTATAGTCAAGAGAATGCAAAAGCAACAGTAAGTAGGGAAATGTAAAATGTAGGATAAAGTAAAGGATTAAGAATAAAATGAAGGATAGAAAGCAAAGGCGAAAGTAGGAGCCAGAAGGACGGCCGTTACAGCACGCGGCCCCTGGAAGACGCGCCGCTCGTCTTGCTGTCGGCCGACGGTCCCTGCGGAAGGAGTCGCGTCAGGGCGCTTGGGAGATGCTGCAGCACGCACGCACGCACACACACACACACACTTTCACAGATAAATAGATGAATAGATAGACAGATATTTCATCATATAACAGGCAGTTCATCTTGCTGAACAGTCGTGGTATGTTCTAAGAACACGTATTCTGGTCCGCGGGATCATGCGGCAGGAAGGCCAGTTCCTTTCTTCCTAACTTTGGCCCCAGCGTACTGATTGCGATTGCAAAGCAGTGCTCTACCGTGAACTATGCTCCCTCTATTGTAACTATCGAGGCGGTATGCTGTATACGCACACACACACACACACACATATGTGTGTGTGTATATTTGTATATATGTGTGTGTGTGTTTTAAGACGGGTGACAAATAACAAGAGAGATAAACAGAAAGTAACAAACACAGAAACAAATATAAAGAGACGAATACTGAAGTTATTCTTTAAAACAAGTTCAAACCCGAGGAAGAACTGCCTACATGACCCACAGAAAACAAAAACGAGTGCCATAATGAGAGCGAGTGCACCGGAATCCCCAACGACTCGCACGGGTCTGGAGGCCGTTGCATGACGTGACGTCACGCAACGTCGCTGACTCACTGGCCGCTTGCGATCGAGTCTGGCTGGCCGGGGGGCGCCGCGCCGGTGCGGCCGAGGCCTCCGCTCGACCATCGCCCTCGAGGCTTAGCGACATCATCATTATTCTTATTTTACTTTATTCTGTTATCATCATTTATAATCATTATCTTCGTGAACATTATGATGGTGATGATGGCAATAGTAATGATTATTATTACAATCATTGTTGCTATGGTCATCATACTGTTGTTATCATTCTCATCCTTATCCTTATCATTCTCAGTCTCATCCTCCTCATCGCTGTTATTATTTTTATTATATTACTAATATCATTATTATCATCAACAATACTATCTGTTACCACTATCCCTATTCATGACACGTTATTATTTTCCTATCATTGATAATATTATCCCTTTATTATTACTATACCATTAATGATTACTATTCTTTTTCATTTTTGTATATCAGTCTTACCTGCGCTTGGCTGCGCTGCGGCTGCCTCCCCCGGGCGGCGCCGCGACCGCCTGCGCTGCCTACGCCGCCTGCGCCGCCCCTCCTGCTGTCAGCACCTCGGCCCCGCTTCGGCTGCTCTCTCGCAGGAGACGCGGGCGCTGAGTCGGCGCGGAATGGCGCGCTGGGGGCCGCAGGGGCCTCTGGGCCAGCAGGATCCCCTGGGGCGATAGGAGCGACGGGGGCAACAGGCGCTGCAGGAGCAGGTGGAACCTCGGGGGCGGAGGGCCGGGCTTCCTCGCCTGGGTACTCACTGACCCCTGGGAAGACCTCGGGCTTGGGAGCCGGGGTGATGGGCACGGGCAGGTCCGCCTTTCCCTTGCCCTTGCCTTTGCGCGTCGTCGGGGCCTGCAAGTGGAGATCAGAGCGAGGTCAGACGAGGCTCGAGGGCGAGCGGAACAGTTGCCGCGGGAAATATTCACAGAAATGCTCCTACACAGAAAAATCATCTTCAAGGAACAGAGCATGGCCGCGCTGTGGGAGACGTCGCGAGCTCTCCCGCTGCCGTTCCCACACTTATCTCTCCGTCCCCCTTCAGAGCACGGCGCTCTCTCTGGCCTCCGGCACTGACCTTGACCTCCGTGGTGAAAGTGGTTATGAGGTCGCAGCAGTCGGTGAAGGAAGCGCAGCAGTACTCGGGGAAAAACTTGTCTTCGTTTACGATGTTCGAGCATTGCTGGGAGGAAGCGAAACATCATGAATACGATGAAAATATTATGATACATAATATCAATGCTGTTTTCTCCATGAAGCCGCCACTGATGGCCGCGCTATTATCCCCAATGTCAATGCGCAATGCTAACGCAGAAATCGGCAAAGGCCACATGTCCCGCCCCGACCCGTGGCGGCGCGGCGCGGCGGCGCAGCCTCACCTTGCACGCCTTGAAGTACTGGTCGCAGCAGGCGCCGTAGGCCTCGCAGCACTCGGGCAGCCGGGACGCCTCCACGGCGTCACAGGAAGCCGAGCAGTGCGCGCAGGCCGCGTCTCCCGGCTGGCAGTGGATGGCCTGGCGCCTCCAGCGGAGCAAGGTCGTCTCGGCGGCGGTGGAGGCCGCAGCGGCGTCCTGGGTCAGCACTGCCAGCGCCGTCAGCAGCTGCAGCGAAGCCAACGCAATCCTCATCTCCATTGCGGCGTCGCGCCCGAAGTGCCACACGTTCAGCTATAGAGAAGAACGGGCGCGGTTACACAGGCAGCTCAGCAGCGACAACAAGGACTTTAATAATGAAATAGCAATAATGATAAAATAAGAACAGATCCAAATAAGAGTAACGCTGCTGGTGGCTCGGGTGATAGTAATATGAAAATATCATGTAATAATAATAGCTGCAGAAATGGAAAAAATAGTAAAAAAAAGGTATAAAAATCATATTGCTAGGAAAACGACAGTAATAACGATAATGATGGTAATAACAGCGATTATGGCAATGTTGAAATGGTAAAAACAATGACAAGAACAATAATAATGATAATAATAACAATATTGATAATATCAATAATAATAACAATAACACACCATTATAATGATAAAATTAGCAATGACCACTGTTTATCATCGTCACCATCATTATCATATCCACAAAACCGTTCCGACCGTTAACCACAAGGTTCTCAGATTATCTTTAACGTTTCACTTTCTCTTTCGATTCTTTTTTTTTTTCTTTTTTTTAAGCAATATACTTGTTTTCCTTCTCGCGCGTGGGCGGCCGTCACACCGCCACGCCCGTCCAAGGAGCAGCTCGGCGGAGATGTAAAAAAAAAGATAAAGGACGTTTTTTCGCTCCAGGTTTCTGTTAAACCTGAATTACTGCCCCAAAGTGGCGATTTTGTTGCCTTGTGTTAGACTGGTTTGTGATTTGCAAATGATTGGCGCCTTTGCATTTGCGCGTCGAAGGCAGTCCACGTGACTCAGATCTCGAGCCGCGTCCGCGCGAGTTTCGAGGCCCTAGAACTTCGGTTTCTAAGCCGGCGGCGGCCTCAGTGCGCTATGAACGGGGCCAAAATCTGAAAACATGTATATATGAAACCGAGGGAGTTAAACGGGTAAGCAGCCAGTGGAAAGAACTTGCTGGTTCAATAGAGATACAGACGCGTGACAGACATCCCTTTTTGTCTTTGTAATTACCTCTTTTATCTGATTATGTGTTCTTGACATAACACAAGACATTGAAACGCATTAGGTTAGTAAATAATTTAATATTAACAATTCTATGGATTTGTAAGCTGTGTTTTATATCGTTTATTGTTGAAACAACTTTTTGCCCAAATGCCATTTTTAATTACTCTAAGTATGGTATATTTATGCGCATGGTTACTTCTTTCGTACCTCTTCAGTATTTATATGGGATTCAGCAAAGGCAAACAACAGATTTCTTTATTCATACTTAGCAAAAGAAAAAAAAAAATAAATGGAATTAATAGTTACAGACCGCTAAATTGTTTATTAAATGGATCTAACGAGTGTGGACTCCAGACACGGGCCGCCAAACTCCTCCACCCAAGGGGCCGCTTTTCGCCGAAGTACGCAGTAGGCGGCCCAGATAATCATGAGCCGACGCGACGAAACGGCCATGTGGTTGACGTAAAAACCGTAGGTTATATCACTTATTGCAAAAATATATAATAGAAAAAATCCTTAAGAATGTCTGTAGTAATTAAAAGAAAACGTAATTAGTCGTAAATAACGGCCGACCGTCAGACTGATCGAAGGAGCAAATGCGCCGCCGCCGCGTGTCTGAGACCCACGGACTGTGCATGGCGCGGACAAAGCTCGTGCATGAGAAGCGGGCGACGACCAGAAACCGCCTGGGAACCGCTGCACCAAAAGCTAAAGGAGACTCACTCGAACGGACTTTGGAAAAGAGGGCGGACGCTATGAATTTAACCTTCGCGTAGTATTAATTCCATCTACTAATGAAGAAATGAAACATCTGGCAAGTATTTCTAGGCATTCCACACCTACGTCCCTAAGGAATAAAATCCCTTGTCTTTTGGCGACACTGCAAAATAGGCCAACGGTAAATATGACTACCAAACAAGCGACAATTCAGCGTTTCAGACATTGACATCATCATTATTATCAACTATATTTATTAATTTTGTTATCATTATTATTCTTGCTATTAGTTATTATTATCAGTATCAGTATCATTAACATTTGTTTCTCCTCCTTCACTTTAGCTTTCGCTATTCATTGCATTTCTTTTATTTTAGTGTAATTGTTCAACTGGTATTGGCAACACTGAAGTTTACATCAGCTAAATGAGTAAAAAATATGAGTGGTTAATAAACAAATAAATGTGTCAGACACCAAGGACTTATAGCACTAAAAATGATTAATAAAATATAATTCCCCCTATTTAGCGCATTTCACAATTTTTTTTTGTTTATCTCAATAATCTCGAGGCTAATGAAAAAAGGCCAGCAACGAAGGCTCAGAATTGCCTCTCTCTGACATGACCAATCTTTACCTCCACCCTTCCTTAGTGATTGGTATGTGCAACAAATAAATAATTTACACCGCTAGTTTTTACATTATAGACCGAGAAATCACTTTTCTCAAAGCTTTAGTTTGTTTACTAAAACCGTTAAACATTTAGTGATTTTAAGAGAGAGAGAGAGAGGGGGGGGGGGTGCGAGATGAACGACATTATTGATT